CATCCCCACCCACCTCCAAACCTCTATGCATATGTTTTCCATCCTCAACTTACCTTGTCCCCCTCCAGTGCCCCACCCACCTCCAAACCTCTATGCATATGTTTTCCATCCTCAACTTACCTTGTCCCCCTCCAGTACCCCACTCATCTCCGACCCTCTTGGATTCTACTCTCAACTTCCCTTGTCCGCCTCTTGTCCACTTCCAGTGCCCCTCCCACCTCTGACCCTGTACGGTTCCCACTTCCGTTCCCCACACACCTCCAACCCTCTATAGTTTCCACCCTCAACCTCCCTTGTCCCTATCCAGTACCTTGATCTGTGAGACACAGTTTACCAAGTACATCATCTTGATGTGGGTCTACTCCAGCATCATACAGTATCAGGTCAGGTTTGAATGTGTCCATAAGCCATGGTAAATAATCCATCACCATCCTCAAATACTGCTCATCATTCAAGCCACAGTCTAAACCAACATCTAAATCGCTTTGTTGTTTCCTGAGTGGAAAGTTTTTCTCGCAGTGCATAGAGAACGTAAATATAGAATAATTTTCTTTGAAGATGAAGGCTGTACCATCTCCCTGTAGAGGAATGGATCATTTGGTGGATCAGATTTCAGATCAATATTACAGGCCCTGTATGTATACAGGGCCCCGTTTGATTTGCTGAATGGAATGCTCTGTGAAATAACTACGCAGCTGTCTTTGTTCTTATAATTCTCTTTACTCTTTTCAATTCTCAGAGCTGATACATAGTTTTCAATTCTGACTGATCCACTTTACTGATTAAATTATTACAATAGAATCATCCAGTTAATCTATTTGTCTTGAAACTGTGAAGAGAACTCAAATGTTAACCCTCTGATTCTCATGATCTCATTAGTAATTCTCCTAACTGTCTGCCCTACAATTCTTATAATATTTGTTTGGAGAATTTGGTATTAGATCAACTAATAATTCCCTTGTCAATATTTTCTTTTATTCTTATCACGTGTGCTTGACATTTTATTGAAATTGTAAGAAGAAATTCTGTTTTGGTCACTCATGGGAGTCTGAATCAATAACTTCTACTCAATTACCTGGTGAACATCCAGGTCAACAATGAGAATTTTGTCAACAGCTTGACTATTGACCATGTCCTTAGCAGTGACAGCAAGATCATTCAACATACAGAAACCTGAACCATGGCTGGGAAAAGCATGGTGTGTTCCACCTCCAGTGCTGCATGATAGTCCATACTCTATTGCTAATTTGGCTGCGAGCATGGTTCCACCTATTTTGTTTTTGATTAAAATGTCAAATATTTTATTACAAATGCTAAACCTACTCTGAGCACATATAAAAACAATGGCAAAATTAAAATTAATTAATTCAAATTAGAATTATAATAAATTGGCCACCGTAACGATTACAAATGCTGACGTTTCGAGCGTTACCCCTTCGTTGGAGCAAATAGAGGAATTGTGGGTTGTGTGTGCTTTTAAAGGCAGAAAATGGAGCTACGTTCTACACCTATTCTCTGAGGTGTCCCTCCTCACAAGACAACTACATTCTTTTTACTCAATATTGACTTGAAATGTGATTCTTCTGTTCCAAGACTATTTGTGCCACACAAGTTGTAAATAATCCCTAGTCCCTCCCCCTGGATCAGCCACTGAAGTGTGGTTAGGAGGGAGGAGTAATATTAACTGTGCTGAGTTTCAATTAAGTCAAACAAAGTATCCACTATGGTAAAGGTCTCTGGATCAGGGGCAAGTCCCCATGCAAACTCTGTTGGTTCCTTCAGCATCATAGCTCACGTACAGACCTACTTTTTATACAAATTCCTACCTACTTCTAGGAAGCATCTTCTAACAAGGCCCTCTGACCAGTGAAATCCAGTTTTCCTCATTTCTTTTGGAGGAATGCTTCCCGAGATAAAACCATCTACATAGTCACAGTTGTGAACGTGTGTCACAACTTCATAAGATGGTTCAATTGGTTGAAAGATTTTGACAGACTCTGACAGATTGTCTTTAATGATCCATTCCATCACTTTAATAAACTTTCCCATTTTAAATCTGTGCTTTTCAGGCCACTCACAGCTAAAGCCATTGTGATGTACAACTGGTAGCTTGGCGGCAAGGTGACAGTTACCTTAAAAAAGAAATAATTTCAATATATCAACCAAGTCGAAATGGTAAATTGGCCACCTTTATGATTATAAAAGCTGATGTTTCGAGCATTAGCCCTTTGTCGGAGCGAATAGAGGAACTGTGGGTTGTGTGTGCTTTTAAAGGCAGAAAATGGAGCTACAGGTGGGAACATGGCAACGAGAATTTTCTTCAACTTTGTTGATATATTGAAATTATTTCGTTACCCCCACCAATGCAGCCCCAAAAAGTTTCTTTAGAAACTATCAGCCTTAAAAAAGAAACCCTAGCAAGTTTATAACTTAAAATGAACACAGAATAAAACACTGGCATTAGGGTAGGGGAATGTGCAGTACTGTAATTCCAATAGTACTGGGTACACACCACACTAGCGATATACAGAAGGTGCCAAAGGGTTTATACCTGATATGTGATTAAGGCAAAGGTAAGATGTAATGTGTGAATTTTACAAAGAAGAGGAGCCTGAATCATGAATTTATGAACCAGCTTGAGGTGCAATTTGCCTCTTGAAGTGTAAGCAACTCATGAATTCTTACAGTATGTGAAAGGTCACAAGATTTCCCTGACACCTTGTAAACAAGAGGATAAATTTTTAAGTTTCCTTTTCAATTTGTGATGCCTGAAAAGCTGTTTAAAACACATGTGACATGAGAATTTTTTCTAAAAAAATTGTGCATGGAATGGAATTTGGAACCTCTCCTCCTTTCTACTCTCTATACAGACAATTGGAGACTTCATAGGTTTTATCATCACAGATACACACCTTACCTTACCAGTAGTAACCCTCTCTTCTGAACTCTCTAGCAATGCCTATAAAGTGGCTATTTCCATTTACACCCTAACATTAGCTTGGATATTCTCCATAATGATCCCTATACATTTCCTAAGGTGATGACATGGAGAATTTGTTCAACAATCAAGAGTTCCTTTAGTTGGTGATCATTAACTTTATTCTTGTGACCTTAATGCGTGATACAGGGCTGACTGTAAGGAGAATTAGATGCTTGTCATTCTTAACCCTTGACTCAAAGATCACATTGCTACATGTTTTCTTGTAGATTTGTTATGAGAATTTGTTGTTAGATCAAGGTATCAACTTCTACCGATAAGTTTGAGTATTCTCATTACCTGTTTGCTAGATAATGTATGGATATTTTAGGGAGAAGTTACATGTTAATCACTTCTAAAGGTTAAAGCTTTAAAGGTTAATTAATAGTTGTAGCACATATATACACATTTAACAATTATTCACGAAAGGCGAGGTGAATTTTGTCGAATAATCCCCGAGACTTCGTCTTGGGGATTATTCGACAATATTCACCAAACCTGAGGTGAATAATTGTTTTAGTATAATTTCAGAGCTGAACAACAGAGAAATTTCTAAAATTATAACACTGTAGTAACATTTATTAACATTTTATTTCAACACTTTATATAAAACTCTTTGTTCAGCTCTGAAATTATACTAAATATATATATTAGATACATTATTGGTTAATTAATTAATTTGTCTTTAGAACATGGCTTGATGGAAGAGCATGTAATATGAATTGATACCGTGTATAAGTAAAGTTTTACTACTACTACCACTACCACTACCACTACCACTACCACTACCACTACCACTACCACTACCACTACCACTGCCACTGCCACTGCCACTGCTACTGCTACTACTACTTCTACAGCAGACTCAGGTGAGAGACATGGGACTTAAGGAGCCAAAAATATTCTAAAAAAGTACCTACAATAGTGTATTAGGTCTTCAGGATGTAAAGGGTCTTTTTACTAGGACTACAAAAACCCAAATGTATAAAGAAGATTATGGAGAAGATGAATACTAATGGTAGGATAGGATATGTGTGATCTAACTGATTACAGGGTAGTCACCCATACCTGATTGAAAGTATTTACTCTGCTTACAGCTCACTATGTTTATGACATGACGAAATTTGACACTGATCATCTGCATGGATTGAAACGTGCGTGTGAAGGGACCTATGTTCCATGTTGTGCTGAACATGGTCTTGTTCTGAACATGCGGTTGTACAGCGGAGTTTTCTTAAAATGTGGTGATGTGTTCAAATTTGCACAATCGTATATACAGCCTCTCACTTTTGTATACAATATAATCAATTGATGCTGCAAGTTTTGCGATCTATTTAAGCATGGGACACGTTTTCTCTTATGTTTTTAATCGTCTCCTTGGCAAGGAGGACGTGAGAATTCTAATGGTGGGCCTGGATAATGCGGGGAAGACGACCATCTTGTATCGACTGAAACTTGAAGAGATCGTGTCCACGGTACCTACTTTAGGATTTAACGTGGAAACTGTTACTTACAAGAATATATCCTTTACAGTTTGGGACATAGGAGGACAAGACAAGATAAGAAGCCTTTGGAGAGTTTACTTTCAGGATACACAAGGCTTGATATTTGTTGTAGATAGTGCCGACAGGGAGCGAATCGAAGAAGCCAAGACTGAGTTGCACAAGCTTTTGGGCGAAGAACAACTAACAAATATCGTGCTTCTAGTGTTTGCAAATAAACAGGACATGCCGGATGCTATGCCTGCTTCTGATGTTCGTGAAAAGCTTGGTCTAGGAAGCATGCGACAAAGGCCTTGGTTTGTGCAGTCTTCTTGTGCTGTGAAAGGCGAAGGTTTATACGAAGGACTCGATTGGCTTGCATCGCAGATCCGAGCAAGAAAAAGCTGGATTTGAGCTGAATGGACCATTAAAAACTGTGCCCTAAATACTAATAGAAATAAATGATATGGTTAAGTGTACTACAACATGCACAAACGACAGATGTTTAGCATATCAAACACAACAGGACGAGCAGAACTTTAGTTTGAAAAAGAAAAATAAGCTTTTAATAGTGTTAACAGGTGTTAATAGTGCATGCTCTTGTCTTAAAGACAATATAATTTATTTCATATACTGATCTCAAATACAAGGTGAAAATATTGATTCAAACTGAAGCTTACAACCCTAGGGTAGTCATTTAATACCAATGCATAATAAAGCCTTTATTTTGAGGGTAAGAAAATATGAATTTCCATGAGGAGGCACTTCTATGGAAATATTTGTTCAAAATTGTTTCACCAGTTTAGGCATTGTTGTTAAGAATAAATAGAAAATAAACATTTACTATCACTGATATTCTTGTTTAATTAAGTTATCCACTGGTCAAAATATGCTTTATTTCATCAATGTGTTATTAAATTGGTCACAGGTGACCAGTTTTGTGTGACATGGCATTTCACATGAAATGAGACAAGTTGGGAAAGGAGTGGCATCACTGGAGGTCAACAAAAATACAGTCCCCCTTTTACTTCACTCTTCTGATCTCTGATCTCTAGTGGAAGATCCCAAATGATTAGTAAGCAAACAGTCAAACCCATTCCACCATTTTCTTTGGAAAATCATCCCTTGTCATGACAAATCTTGTGATTGGTGGTATAATAATTTTTTTTTTCAGCGAGAGTGGATTTATAAATTATTTTCATTGTAGCCAATAAATGTTTTATCAAAATAAATAGGTTAAACTGAAGGTTAAAAAAAAAAAAAACAAACAAAAACAAAAACAAACAAAAGTAAGGAACAGTGAGTCCATCAGTTTTGCAGTCAATTTGCCCTTTGGAGGAACATAGCTGTCAAAGATTGTCTACCAGAAAAATTTTCTGGCTGATCTGTTTTTTCAACAAATGAAACTCCAATATTCATGTAATAAAGTCAAGTACTAAATAGATAATTTGTTTCAAAGCATTGGATATTAATCAGTGTAATCATGTAAATCACTCGTTTTAATATCAAAGTCTTTGTATTTAACCCTAGGCCACGTCTTGAACTCTTTCCAGGACAGGTCCCTCTGTTGACTAAACATTTTTACTGGAAAATCACCCCTTGTCATTTGCAATAACAGATCCTGTGATCTGGGATCTATTAAGGCATTTCCTCTCAGCTCCTCAAGAACAACTTGAAGGTTAGACAAATCAACAAAATTTGATGAAACAGCTAGAGAGTCTTCCAAGTTTTCCACTCTGTGTGGACAGCCATGAGGGACAAACAACAGTTCACCAGGTTCTAAGGTGCATTGACGAGGCATTGCTGACATCAACAGAGGATATTTATCAAGATCAGGACAACTCAGGTCTATGTCAAATACAAGGTCAAGTGAATCCTGGTAGTGTGGATAAAGCAATGGAATGTCTTTTCTCTGGAAGAAAGTCCACCTATAGTAAAAAGAGTGGTAGTTATTTTAAATCTAAGGACATCACCTGTTCTGATATGTGAACAGTTTTCCAAGAGTGAAGCTCAGTAGAGGAAAACTGTGAGCTTCAATGAACAAATAATGTCCAAGGACAAATATCTTTACATATTTTTGTGCAAAATAGAAGCTGTGTTTATTGCCCTTCAAATATTTTATGTGTGAAAAATGTTTACGAACAGTTTACAGTGTGCAGTGTGGGATGTTTTCTTTTAAGCCTTCTCTAATATATCCCAATGAACAAAAAAAGATTTCCTTCTTTTGTAGCAACCACAAGACCCTCTCATCTTAAATTAAAATTCCCAAATAGGTTAAGGTTTGAAAACTGTGGAACACTGCTTGGGTGATATTCTCAGATATCACTCAGTTTTAGCAGGGGGATATTCGGTCACATGCTACATTTAGACCAATCGCGCACAAGCAATTTTTCATGGATCATAATTAAATACAAGCAATTGTGAGTCAGTTTGCTTGGTGAAAATATTCTTATGCTTTCCAATTATCAGTGTCCTTGATCTAGGGTATACATTACCTTTTCCTTCCTTGGAAAAGTGCCATCCAGAAATTTGAACCAAATGCATCAACATGAAGATCACTATGCAATCCTGCAGGTGCAATAAATAGACTTGGCCAACTGTCCCGGTAAAGTGATCCTGGTGCAGTTCTCTGTAAGAAGTCTCCCGCAAAATATTTGGGAATCCTGAGTTCTTTTGCTAAGTCAGGAGCATGTGTTGGTATGCTCCAATCAAACAAGTAAAGTGGTTCCTGTAATGTTTGCAGGGAGTCAATAAACTCGGATATTTTCATGTTACCAGCTGGTTCAAGCTTTGCCCATTCTGTGGATTCTTTAACCGTTCTTTTAAGTGTTGCTGTCTTGTTTCCAATTACCTGCAATGGCAAGCATGAAGGATGAGTCTTAAGAGTTTTCTCTAAATAAATAGCTGACAACAGGTCAGACACCCCTTCTGTGGATTGAGACAACGATGGGGGATTGTTCCAACAAGCCCACCTACAGCGCATAGCAATACTTTTTAGTTTCCTTCTCGCCAATTGTGACCAGCACGTGCTACGCTAGAGACGCGTGAAGACGCACACAGAGAGACGCACAAAATTGTTGTTTGTCTAAAACACTTTATTTCCTTCCTCTGTTTTGTGTTCTAAGAAAGCTTAGCTCCTCTCTCCACAAACACTTGCATCTTTCAAATCTGACAAGAGGCACTCAAGTGAGATTAATATCCCTATTGTTAATCAAAACTTACACAGCCTCACATAAACATGAACTTTTTTCGACAAAGAATGAAAACAAAAACATCATGATACGCGTTCTTGACACTACTTTCTGACAATAAATGTTCTACCAAGTTTCTAGCCTTTAGGTGGCGAGAATTGTCTTGTCGATTGCAGGCAATTATGCCGGAAAGGATGAGTTTTCGGAAATATTATGGAGTGAAAGGGATTGTCATTTCCATCTTTATGCGTCAAGAAATAATTTTTGGTATTATATGAAAATTTGACTATCATCTTTCCGCTTTGTTTTCCTCTTTTTTGTGTCTGTCACATGGCCGTGACATGTTCGTGATATTTCTACAACGCGTGAAGTGATATCAGTCCAAAGGTCCCTGCATCAATTAATATCTTCCGGGAAAACATCTGCATCGTAAAGTTAATCAAAATGGCGGGTGTTTGGGGGCCTTTCTTGTTTCACTATCTCTGTTTTATGGTGCATTTGATTGGAGTAACCTACTACATGACAGAAATTCACCTTCCAGTTCACCAAACCTACGGAGGACGATTCAAATTTTTAACTTTCATTAACATGCTGTTGCACTTTGTGTACTTCAACGTAGCCGCTGTCACAGAATTTCACGAGATCATTAAGAAGCGAAAAAGCCACATCTTCGCGTCCGTTTGCGACCATATGTTTGCCTGTTTTGTGTTCCCCGTCGGAACGACTGTGAGCGTCTTATTTTGGGGTTTGTACGCTGCCGATCCAAACTCTTGTCAAACACCAGAAGAAGCCAAACAAATTCCCGCGTGGCATAATCACTACATGCATACGTTTCCTTTAGTGACAATCTTGGAACTATGCTTTATTCGCCACGAATACCCGACTAAGAAGAAAGCCATGGTTTCCGTGGTAGGATTCGCAGCCTGTTACCTTCTCTGGATTCTGTGGATAGCATTTGCAGCAGATATTTGGGTGTATCCGTTTTTAGAGAAGCTAGATACGCTCTCCATTGCTGCATTTTTCGCGTTTTCCGTCGGAGTATTCATATTCATTTACCATATAGGAGAGTGGGTGGCTGTATGGAGATGGGGACAAGGTGCTTCAGTGGAAAAGAAAAAACTCTAAGTTAGCTGTAATTAAAAATTATAGAGTGTGGATATTTTTGCGTGACAAAAAAACATGGCGTGACACTTTTTTTAGATTTCTTAGAAAGAAAGAGGAGGGATTTTAGATCCTAGCAGCAACCACTAGATTATTTATCCTCTTAAAAACGGAAAAAAGCAAACACTGTAAGTTTTTTCAGAATATTTCTAGCCAGCTCAAATTCTTCCCTTGACATTTGTAACTAGTTATTGCATTATATTGTAAGTACAAAAGAAAAGTAATTTTGCCAAGGAAATGTTTCAAAAATTACTTTACATGGAGACCTAGCCAAAGAAAGCCATAGATTTTGGAATTTTTTAAAAAATTACAGGAATTATTGCAGCTTAAAACACAGCATTTGTATATGAAGTCCTCTTTCACTACAGCCTTGCTCATCATCAATATGAAAAAGTTGGGAGGCATTTAAATCTTAGGGACTGTGGATTGCCCTTTTCCTTATCTATCAACATTTAAAACTGAACAAAAGCAAGAGAAAATCTCTTTGACTGATTCTGACTTCTAAGAGTGACTGACACCTACTTTTTCCTGAAACAAACTTTGAAGTCACAAGGAGAGAGAAAATGATCAGTTAAAGAAGCTCTTGATTGTTAAACAAATTCTCCTTGTCTGCACCTTAGGAAATGTATAGAGAACAGTATGGAGAATATGCACATACTGATTCTAGGGTGCAAAGGATTAAATTCAATTTCTCAGTTATTATGATATCACCACTGACCATGAGTTTATGATACAAATTTTCTTCAAGAGTGGGGCAACAGTTGGAAACTTTTACAACTCTTATCAGAGGGTACATTCTCCTTATCTTACTTTTCTCTTCCTCTTTCACCTCTTTTTTTTTCCGTCCATTTAACCTGCTGCCTAGACAGGCTATACTTAACAAAAATCGGGAAAAGGAAATGTTTAAAAAATTACTTTACATGGAGACCAAGCCAAAGAAAGTCATAGATTTTGCAAATTTTTAAAAAGTATAAGAATCATTGCAGATAAAACACAGCATTTGCAGATGAAGTCCTCTTTCACTACTGCCTTGCTCATCATTAATATAACAGGGAAAAGCTAGCTATAACTGCAGGATAGAGTTTTCAACTTCTTAACAAGTCTTGTCTGTGATGGCCTTGGTTCGATTTGCGAGAGCATATTTGAGCAACAAAATACACAGCAAATGACTAGGATATCAATTTACTTTCATGACCTTTTGTATTGTTTGCTTTCAGTCTAGTAGCACATGAAATCTCAAATCCGATTACAAGAGAAATGATCTTCAAATAAAAAAAGCATGCTATCGGCTACGGACACCACTCACATCATCATCGCATCACCATAACCCCATATCCCCACCCTAATTTTGAAACAAAAATGAAATAAATTTTTTTTTTGAATTCATGCTCCCAGTTATCCCTGAAGGCTTTCAACAGAGCCAGTTGATTTTCTTACCTTCAACCAAAATTATTGCTAGATAAGAAAAAATTCTACAAGAAAAGTGATTTTAAAAGAGATGTATTTACTCCAGAATAATTTTAACCACATTTTCATCTCAGCCACCCAAATTTTTTTTAACAAAAATATGGTGCTTACTGCAATCTGATACTCCAAAGAGTAAACAAAACCCTTTGAAAAGTGTTCCTGGATAGGCTTAAATTTAGCTATGAATGCCCTCATTTGGAAAATTTCCAAGCAATCGAGGTGCTCATTTTTGAGACACTGTGATCACACTTAATCATCCATTTTGTGGAAATCTATTAGTACAAAATAATATACTTTTGTTTCTATTAACAGAGCCACAGTTGTTTGTTCAGCATGTGTTGCAATGGTCTCTGCTATTTGATGAGTATTCCTCTGCTTATTGAGTTGCTTTCAAATGGCAATGGGATTGTTGAAGCTTTTAATGGATGAGATAAAAATAATTTGGTTTCTGGAGAAAACTTCTCCTGTAAATTGCTTATTGCCAAAAGTAAAATGACAAGGAATTGTTTAAGTCATTAGATTCCCATTGCATGAAAAACTGTGTTGAGAATAACATTCACCTCTTTAATATGCTGAAAGTCCCAAACGGCAGTAGTCATGGTATCCACCAGTCCTGTGATAATAACGGGAATACCAGTTATACAATAATCAAATAAGAACTGTTTTGCTCCCAGAGTATTGCAGTGACGCCTCTCTACCTGAAAAGATAGCAAATAAATGATGTATTGAGCCATTCATGTGAAGAAAAAAAAAAATTTCTAGGTTATAAAAGAAGGGGTGCCTGAACTATTCTGACCAATTTGGCTGACCAACTTTTGGTCATGGTTTTCTGCTGCCAAAGCACCCTAACTCACCTCCACTGGCTCAGGCATCTTATAATCAGCAGGAGGATGTGGCAAAAAACGTTCCTGAAGACTTCTTCTTTTATCCTCCAGCTCTTTACTTCGTTGTACTTTCAAATGCAACCATGCAATATTCTTACTCAATGGATCAAGCTTTGCGGCAATATTTAGGCTGCTCAGGGCTGAAGAAGTGTCGTTAAGCAGGTCATAGTAGGATGCTAGAGCTGCATGATGTGTTGCACTTTCAGGATGCAATATTATCTTCTTTTTCAACAAGTTAATTTGTTCTTTTAGGAACACTTCTCCTGTAGGGAGGCTGTTTCAAAATAAAAAAATAAGATCACTTTACGATGGCAGATGTAATTTGGCCACGCTGACCACTAGGCAGTGTGGCCAAGTGGTCAGCGTGTCAGACTTGCAATCTGCCGATCTCGGGTTCAAGTCCAGCTCTGACCACTACCTGGATTTGTTTCATGGGATCTGAGTTCAAATCCTTGGTCATGCTTGTAAAAAGCTAACTGGTTTGCCTCCGGCCAGTTGGGATTTTTAATAATGTTATGTTCAATTTGAATTATTTGTTTCAGTTGTTTGCTCAGCCCTACTAGCACTAGTGTGCCATAAACACTTCCGGGGGTAAATAAAGGTATTTATTTATTATTATTTATACATAGAAATTAGCCTTGCTCACCTTGCTTTAACCTTTTGACCCCTAAGAGTGACTAACATCTAATTTCTCCTTACAAGATCACCCAGGAATTACACATTAGGGTCATGAGAAAAAAGGAAATGATCACCAACTAAAGAAGCTCTTGATTGTTAAACAAATTCTCCTTGTCAGCATCTTAGGAAAAGTATACAGAACAGTATGGGGAATATGCATACTGATAGTTGGTGTTCAGGATTACAGGAAAATGTTATTCTTATCCAGGTTGACAAGACTAGGAGGGCTAGTTTCATGGATAAAAAAGAACAAAAGTACTGCTTGCCATTTTTTTTTAAATAGGTCTGCAGAACAAAAAATTTAAATACATGGAATAGGGCAAGTTTCATAATAAAGCTCAAACAAAATGTTACAGCGCTTTGATATTGTATCTCTCTCTCTAAGCATTTTGAAAACAGTAGTTGAATCCTTTCAAATACTAAATATATAGTAACCTCGATTTACCTCAGAAAATGAGCAGCATAAAAACTTGCATTTGACATTTCAGGTCTGAGGAGAAGATCCTCAAGTGTTTGTGTGCCAATCATTATTCAAACCAAATAGATAAAAACCACTATGGCTTAGGTTATTTACAACATTATGACTGCCATTTTCTATACTCTTTGGCAAAATTCAACATTGAGAATGTTACCCAATTCAGACACAGTCCTCCTCCATCAGAGGAAACCTCCTATCCTCCCCCCCACCACCCCACTGTATGGGAGAATCTTGACCTCGGTCGCTGGTACAGACCTCACTGCGTTCGGTCTGTACTGGCGACCTCTGTCAATATTCTCCCATACAGACCTCCCGCTCGGTTAATAAGAACTAATTATTGAGGCTGGCATCGCGGGTATGATGGCTACCTGGTGGTGCAGTCGAACCGGAAGGACCACAAAGACGTCATCTGCTTGGACCGGGACCCCAGGAATCTACCGAAAGATGCTATATACGTCCGAGGGCTTTTTGCAAGTTGTGAGACGTTCTCCTTCCCTCCATATGTAGAAACAGAGAGACTCCCTTGTGTCGTTTGCAGGATCTAGATATAATGTTAGGTGTCTTGGAAAGATGAGGCCCTTAAGTGTAGGGTAACCTGTGTCTCATTATTTCACACCAACCTTCGGTTATCTTAACCCACCTTTGAACAAGCCAGCCCCATTTTCCTCACAGACATCAGCCGATCAGCTCCTCTTTGCCGGCTAACTAGTTTTGCTTTTTTTTTAGTCTCAAGTGTGGTATTAAGTGCCGTTTTACAAGTTGTGTAAACTTTAAATTTACTTGGTCGGTAGTATTTGTTCAGCGACGGAGAAAGTGCATTAAACGATGTTTTAAAAGCTAATCATTCTTTGAAAACTATTTTGCGAACTTTTTAAGCCTGATATGTATCACACACTTCTGTTACTCTATCTTTGTTACCGTCAGAGGTCCTCAAAAGAGTTTTCTGTAAGGATGCTCCTTGAAGTAACCTTTATTTCCTTCTCTTTTATATACCTTCCGTTGAAAATGGTATGTTTTTCGCTTATCCACTTTCTTGGGAAACTACATGTGCACATGACATCATGTTTCCGAATTGCTCGCACAACAGATTTTGTTTCACCTTACCAATTTCCGGTTCTGTGATATGCCAAGGGCTTTCGCCCACTCCTCCCCCACCACCACACTCCTCCCCATCCAAATCACTGCTCTCAAGATCTGAGTTTTATTTCTTCCCTCTAGCTGCTGCACATTTTCTTGTAAATTAGTTTAGAAAATTGATGTTTGATCAAGACAACAACTTCCACCTGAAGAGTGAGTATTCCCATAACTTTTTTACTGGATAATGTATTGATACTATCAGGAGAAGTTACGTGTTAATCACTGCTGGGAGTTAAACTTAAAGGGTAAAAGAGTAGAGCTAGCCTCATCATCATTTCAATTTCAGCAAAACCTACCTAGCAACATATTTCAGTAGTGTATTAGGATTATCTGATTTTGGAATTTTTGTACAATCTTTTAGCCCAGGATCGTTTTGTCTCTTTCTCCACCACTTTGCCAGAGCAGGCCGAGCCCATAAAACTCTCTCTTCCTCTTGTATCTCTTGCACACTGGGGTGTTTTTTTTCCTCTGCGTGATCTGGGCGATCCAATCTCTGTCTTTTTACCTGACTGAATTGCTCAGATTCTTCTCTTATATCATTTACTGGAGGCCATTCGCTAAGATATTCTCTGTCGTTCGACGAATCAACCAAATGTTCAGATGTCACGAAGTCAGGATCGGCCATCTTTGAATATAGAAACTAGGTTGCAGTCTACCTCGGCATGTAGGAATAGAATACCCTCTAGCCACAAAATCCACGATGTCATTCGCGTGTTTGAATCTAACAGATGGATTTTAAGAAGGGCAGAACTGAGGGAAGGAAGAAGGTAACTTATCGCTCAAAACTATCGTTGCATACATCTGGAACAAACCACCAAGAGAAAAAGGGGGCACTTTTCCCTGCAAGCGCTTATGGGCACAATGTCTAGGAACAGTGAATGTGAAGAAATTGAAATTACTTTGGAGGTAAGTTAAAAATTCAAATTTTTGAGGAAAAAAGGTAAACATGAAACCTCTCTGGGAGGGGAGGGGGTGGCAGTTCTGGTGAAATAATATGTAAATCACTTGCTTAGAACATCCATCCTTTTGTGACCAAGTTGATTTTTTCGTTTAGTAACGCTATTGTAAATGTTTCAAAATTCTCTGATTTGACACACTGCTATAACCATTGCATTCTCATGGCTCAAAGTTCGTCTTGGTAAAATGATTCCCTTTAATCTAAGAGCATAAGAAGTATACCTCACATGTGCAGGTATAAGGACCAAAACATTTTGATTCAACTTATCCACAACATTAAATTGCCCCTGCAAGGTGTTTCAGTGGTTTTGCTTGAGCGTTGTGAAACCAAACCCAATGTTATCTGAACAACCAATCAGAGCAAAGAAAAGTAAAGGATTTGAGCACTAAGTCAAAAACAAGTAAACTGTTTGAAGTATAGGAAAACGTAAGTGGACATTTTCTGCTTATTTTCCTTTGTACATCTGGATTGAGAAGGTGGCAGATGTTTTATAAGGCCAATTACAATGCAAAAGTGAAGCAAAACCAACATTGAAACCCTGGACAGTTTTCTACACCCAAGTGAAAACTGCTTTTATAATTCAACAAAGATACTGAGGAAGAAGGTGGGACAAGAAGAAGGTTTTACAGAAAGCTTAACTCCCAAAACTATTATCTGGTTTTGAAATGACAGCTGTTTTTAATTCCTCTCTCTCAGTCTGTCTTGTAATGGACAACATATCTTTTGACATTTATTCTGCAATCCTTAGAATAAGAAGTGCTGATAAATACACTAAATAATGTACACCCAGCACAAAATGTTTGGACCTCCAAGTTCAAAATAAATTCATTACCGAAAAGGAAATAATAATAATAATAATAATAATAATACTAATAATAATTTGAAATGAAACAAGCATTCATAATCCCTAAGAAATATTCTTTGAATAATATATGCATTAATAATTATACCTTAAAAGCTAAATTCATAGATTTCTAAACATCATATCAAGTCCTAAAAGGGAATAATTGAAAACAGGCTAAACACTGCCTAACTGCAATATATTATGTCCTCAAATGGGTATATTTATCAAAGTTTTTTGCGTGATCTGAACATGACACACTGGACATTCCAATCTTTGTGAAGCACATGGCTCACACATGGTACAGTGCAAACATGGAGCAGTCATTATGCATCTCAGTTGTTCTTCACAAAGACTGCAAATTAAAGCTACTCTTCTATACATCACCTGCAAATGGAAACAAACAAGCCCCATTAAAAATTCCGCTATAGCTTTCCATTAAGAGTGCATCTGCCTGTAGATCACTTAAAACAATTTCACAGAATTTTCACAGCCATGGGTATTGAGATTTGAGTTTGAGATTCAAAAAAGTACATATTAACAGGACAACTCATCACTCCTTTGGAATTTCCACTTCATTTTGTGTGCAGAACATGGGTATGTTCATTTGACACATGTATTTAACACACATTTAGCACACATTTAACTTGCACTTGTCTTTCACCCTTTTTCCTGTTGCCTTAAAGTGCACCTAAACCCAAAATTGTTTTTTCGCTTAACGAAATAAGCTTATTTTTTGAAGTATTTCTGTGCAAAAATTTTTTAATTTGCTCAAATCTTTAATTTTCTATGCCCAGTCAAAATACGGAAAATCGGCCGCAATCTTGCCCCACGACCGAGTTTAAAGAGGAATGGCTCTAGCGGGTAATGTGACGTCAAATCGAGAACACGAAAGTCTGCATTTCACACATTTTCCTTGTTTGGGAAGATTGTCGTCGATATTGTCCGAAATATGCCGACTAGGTATGTTGTATGAAGAATGTATGAAGCGCGATACCCTCTTGCAAATTTCGCACGTTGCTGCATCCTTCTACAACACACTTAGTCGGCATATTTTCGGACAATTATCGACTACAACCTTCCCAAACAAGTGAAAATGTGTGAAATGCAGACTTTCGTGTTCTCGATTTGACGTCACATTACCCACTAGAGCCATTCCTCTTTAAAATCGGTTGTGGGGCAAGATGGCGGCCGATTTTCCGTATTTTGACTGGGCATAGAAAATTGAAGATTTGAGCAAATAAAAAAATTTTTGCTCAGAAATACTCAAAAAATTAAGCTTACTTCGTTAAGCAAAAAAAAATTTTTGGGTGTAGGTGCACTTTAAGCGATGATTATGGGTTTGTCTGTAAATTATACTGGCCAAATGTAATACCTTCACAACATAAACATTATTGACATCACTACTCACCTGATTTAATTTTTCTAAATCTGAACTGAGCTGTCGATGAATCTGTTTCATTTCTAACAGTGGTAACTCCCCTATATCATTCACTGTGTTGAGAGTGTGAAGATGGGGGCCACCTTTAATTTCTTCTAGTTCTCTTCTCAAGCTTGCCACTTGAGATTGAACCTAAAAAAAAAAAAGGAAATCAACATAAAATTGTAGTGCAACTATCACCTTGTTACTCTCCAACTTGTTTAAAGTATGAAATACTAGTTTATTTTATGATAACACAGGTCAGATTTGTAAAATCATACTTTCACGGTGTTTACATAATTGCCCCCCCTTCCAACAGGAAATTCTTGGTGAGTATTCTAAAAACCACTTCTGTTCAAATCAAGCTACCTCTTCTTTTTTCATAATGGCTTCTACTTTTTCTTGCTCAGCTTCCTTTGCTTTTATAGCAGATTCTTCTGCCTCTTTCTTCCAAGCATCACAAGCCTGCTTTGCTTGAGCCCACGACTCTTCCCATGAGGCCAGCTTGGTCTTGGCAGCCATGAGATCTTCATTAAGTCGCTGAATCTCACTTGAACTGTTACTGAGACCCAAGGGGGATGATAGCTGGGGAGAACCTATTGATTTGGGTGAGTGGAGCTGAGCTGTAAGTGGATCCAAAACTGAGGAATGTAGACTACTACCTCTTACTAAAGGACTGGCACGGTAAGGATTACAGCCCTGTGCAAAAGAAAAAAAGCACATCACATTGAAGCATTGACAGAGTTGCATTTATTTAGGACCTGTTGTTTGCATTAGAAGATATAACAACAAGTAGCAATTTTAAAAATCTATTACTAAAACATGTGCCATAGAAATCCATGTCACTCAAACTCCAGTGTGATAGTGGAAAAATATTACAAAACTTCATATCAACACGACTGGTGCACCTGAATGCCTTTTCTTAGCAAATGCCAAAATAATTATTTTTATTCCTGGTTTTGCCCAATCACAGTGTAATATAAATGGCTGATAGTTATGGAGCCTTGTTGACATGCTGTTAAAATTTCTGATAAACACTTTGTCACTTTTACTAGGAAAATTCCCCCAGCAGTTCTCCAGAGACTAAGAAACCTTTTTATAGAACCATACTTGACTAAATTTCATCCAATCCAAACAACATTTTGCTGCTTAACAGACAATAACCATTCTTCTCATCTTGAAGAGTGGAAACAGCTCTTGAAACCATGTTCAGAGCAACTGCAAAAGTTATCAGAAGTGTTACCTTTTTTCTAAACTATTATCGAGGCTATACTTTATTTTCAGCTGTTTTTAGTTACATTTTTTTGTTAAAGACATTTAGATCTATTAACCTTGTGTCCAGATATTAACTGTGAGGTGGAGCCATAGGATGAGGAAAATTGTCCTAATGGTGAGGTGGGTGATTGTGTGAATGGTTGGGGTGAGCCTGGGCCTGCATCAGCTCCAGGTATGGTAACAGGCGCTGAGCACATTGGATTTATGTTTAGTGCTGACAGAGAATCTCCTATTGTCGATGACACTGGTGAAGCATTGTTGAGCTCTTTCTCTAATTCAGAAACATCAAAGTCATCTAGATTAAGGTCATCGAGAGCACTCTCCACCACAGACTCTACAGTGTCAGCAGCAGGGTAGAAGGGTGGTGCAGTGGCTGATACTGATGATAAATTGGATGAGGCAGAACTGGCCATGGAGAAGGATTGTCTTGTACTAACTATGTTCTAAAATAAAGAAAAATTACAAAGTTTTAGTCTGCAGTCCACCAGTAGCATAAGGATGGCTTAATGTACTCATAAAAAAAAATTATCAAATCATTTATGTGTTTCAGTTATTAATATACACAAAGTTGACAATGAGACAGACAGACAGACAAAGTTTGCAGTTTACTATGATTCCACTGAAAGCAAAATTGACTTAGAAGTAAATTTAAGTTCCTACCTGCTTTCTTCGGGCTTTCTCTATGTCATCTAAAGTGGGGTCATTTTCAATGGACAACAGTTGCTTTCTTATAAATGCCTAGGGTGAGAATATCACATTGTTACATAAAAAAGAAAAAGGCTACACGAGAAAATTTGTCATTGCCTCTAACAGGGGCTATAACAACAGAGAATTACCACAGATATTAAGACCATTAGTCTGATAGTTGCTCTACTGACCTGATGTTCATCCTCTCTACTTCCACTTCGTTCAGAACGTTCTGAGCCGGGAGCTTTAGGATACAAACTACAAGGAGTGGACGGTTCACTAGAGTATGACCCTCCTGATGATGTTGACATGGATCGTGTGGGTTTGCTGATAGTCTGTGATAAACTTGCCATAAATCCAACTCCATTATCAACAGGACTAAGTGGTGATGGAGGCATTGAATAAAACTGTGAAGTTATCATGAACAAAATACTGTTACTTACCAAAGCATTATTTTCTAACCAGTATACATCAAACTTGAGCGAATCAGGTACATTGAGTTTGCAGATGTGTTAAATGCCCAAATAGCACAAAGCAAATGGGAGTCTTATTGCTCCCTTGATTCTAGTCTAACACAGGTTACTCAATCATTTTCAGGGGTTTAGTCTAGCAGTGTCTGGTGGCCCTTGGTGCCTTACTTTTGCTCTTGGGCGACTCAGGAATCTTAGCTTTTTCATACAAATCATTTGCTGGGCACCCTGGATTTCACAGTTTCAGAGCACTGGGCTCCCTTCCATTTTTCTTACAGCACAGCCTTGATTTTGTCCAGTTTCCTTGACAATTTGCAAGTACTTACTGATAGAGAGAACCTTTGCAACCACCTTATCATAAAGAACACAACACTTTGACTATCATCCACTGAAAAAGTTTAAACCTGTAACCCTTGATGTGTGTTCCATAACAATGAGCAAACTATTGGGTAACAATGGTTTACAAATAATTAGATTCCAAACAAAGGAATTAGGAAGACCTTGCAACATTTTTTAGCATGTTATGATCAATATTTTGTACCTGACTAAAACCTTGCTCCCCATTTGCTTCTCTGGTGGTAACAGTATCCTCTGTGGACAAAAAAACATTTAACTTGACTTTTTATCAAATTTGTATAATCTTGTTTAATGTAAAAAAAAAAAAA